TCATGTGCCAATTAAGGAAGGGTCGAGCACAATAACTTGAGTAGCTTAGCTCTTAAGTATTGACCAGAGAGGCGGCGATGTATCAGAGGCAAGAGTAGGGCCTACAAGGTGCCTGTGCCTGGCACCCCTTGGGGTTATGCACATGCTGACCCCTGAACTAGCGTGTTTTTTCCCCAACTGCCCTGTCTCCAGTTCGTCCCCAGAAATGTTTTGGAAAAGCAAATCTCAGGGTATAGTCTTCGTTCTGGGTTTTGTTAATTTAAAATAATTTCCAGAAGCAATCTTGCTGCTATGATTATAATATAGCAAACTGTTCAGTCCTCATGCTGGGCAGGTTTTTTTGGTTTGCTTTAATAGAGACAGGATTTTTGCCATGTTGCCCAGGCTGGTCTCAAACTCCCTAGGGTCAAGAGATCCATGGCCAGACGTGGTTGCTCACGCCTCTGTTCCCAGCACTTTGGGAGGCCAAGGCCGAGATCGTGCCACGGCACTCCAGCCTGGGCAACAGAGCAAGAGCGAGACTCTGTCTCAAAAATAAATAAATAAATTAATTAATTAATTAATAATTTCTTTTAACTCAGCGAAGTAAGATGGATTTCCTAGGTGAGAAATTTCAGATTGATATTGCAAGTGTTTTCTGGGCAGGGTGTCCTGATACTTGTTGCGGCAGTATCCCTTCCCCCACCCCAGCCTTGAGATTGTAGGTGTTGAAGAACCTTTTTAATCTCAGTTAATCTTCTGTCTCCTACTCATCCGTTCATTTATTCAACAAGATACCTTTACATGTATCTTAGTCACCAGCCAAACTGTCACCATCCCAAATATACTGTTGTGGTCTACCGTCTAGAAACCCTCTTCCTTTGCTTTGTAAACTCTTCTCTCCTTTGAGATGTGGTTCCAGTGTGTCTGGGGAGATTTCCCTCCACCCCAAACAAAATCGTCCCCTTACTTCTGTAGCTCTTTGTTACTCTGCTTTCTTATTGCAAAAGTGGTAGTCTGAAATAGAGTCATGCTCATCCCCATTTTGTAGCTGCAGAAGCATTCTCAGTGAGCATGATTTGTCCAGCCCCCCAGGCAGTAGATAACAGTGATATTTGCACCCAGGTCTGTCTGGCTGTGGAGACTGTGATCCTATGAAGGGGTGCGGGGAAGGGACACTACCTCGGAACTGGGTCTTCAGATTTTAGAACTGGCTTTTTCAGGTGGTGTGTGACATTGAGCAACTCCCTAGGATTTCTAAACACTCAGCTGTAGAACTATAGTGTGGCCTTTTCCTGCTTCAAGTGAGTTATAAATGTAAACATGTTCTTCCCCGTTACCACACAAAGAATGTGGTATCAGTACCAGAAATTGATTCAACTATCATCGTAGCATAGTTTAGTTTTCTGCGTAAAAGCTTTTAACTGAGATGGAAACATGAGAGTTCGTGGTACTATTCTTTCTACTTTGTATGTGCTTGGAATTTTCCACAAAAGCGGGTTTACAAAAAAGACTTTCAGCTTGCAAAGTGCCATGTAATTATATCCGATATAACCATCATAATTCTTTCTATACATGTCCTTCTTAACTACTAGATGTTTATTTTCGTGATGGCAGAAAATGCCTTTCTCCTTGTTGTGTTGCCTTGTGATGACATGGTTGGTTGTGTGCTTTGGAAACTACAGTTCTTGCCAAGGGACCCTGTTAGACAGGCAGGTCATCAGATCATAGGATCGGCTTCCACACAGGGGCTACCTTAGAAGGGTGTCCTTCTGGTGTTTCAGTAACTAAATCCCAAAGCTTGAGACCCAGTGGATTTGCTGCAGATGAAATTTCTCTCCACAATAAAATAGTGTTAAAATGTGGTTTTAGTGTGATGTCAGGGAACATTCTTTATATACCCTTTCAAGTTATTTTTTGTTTTGTTTTGAGACAGAGTCTCGCCCTCTCGCCCAGGCTGGAGTGCAGTGGCGCGATTTTGGCTCACTGCATCCTCCGACTCCTAGGTTCAAGCAATTCTTCTGCCTCAGCCTCCTGAGTAGCTGGGATTACAGGCATGAGCTACCACGCCCAGCTACTTTTTTGCATGTGTAATATTAGTAGAGACACGGTTTCACCATATTCGCCAGGCTGGTCTCAAACTCCTAACCTCAAGTGATCCACCTGCCTCGGCCTCCCAAAGTGCTGAGATTATAGACGTGAGCCAACACGCCTAAAAGTTATTTTTTGAATAGCTAACATGTGTACATGATACAGAATTCTTACTATGCAAATAAGACCCCCCACCCCGTCCTGCATCCCCTAGAGCCTTTCCCCAGAATAGTCATGGTCTCCAGTCTCTGGGGTAGCCTTCCAGAAGGTAGTATGTGTTTATAGGAGCATGTAGGTCTTTGGGTTTTTGTTGTTGTTTTTTTAAGGGCAGCATGCTGTCCACACAGTTTACATATTGTGTGTTTTCTGTCATGAATACTGTCAGTACTTACAGAGCTGCTACTTCAGCCTTCATACACATACTGTAATTTATATAGCTTTTTTCTTTTCAATGGACATTTATATTGTGATAGCGAAAACTTAGGAAAAAACATTGGCAATAAATCTTTTTTATTTATTTAATTTTATTATTATTTTTGAGACAGTGTCTTGCTCTGTTGCCCAGTCTGGAGTGCAGTGGTGCAATTTCAGCTCACTGCAGTCTCTGCCTCCTAGGCTCAGGTGATCCTCCTGCCTCAGCCTCTCAAGTAGCTGGGACTACAGACATGCACCACCACACCCAGCTAATTTTTGTATTTCTTTGAAGTAGAGACAGGGTTTTGCCGTAGTGGCCAGGCTGGTCTCAAACTCCTGATCCGTCCGCCTTGGCCCCGCAAAGTGCTGGGATTACAGGCATGAGTCACCGTGCCCAGCTAACAATAAATCTTTATGGATACCTCATTGGTTACATCTATGCAGTTACGTTCCTGGACACAGAATTGCTGGGCCAAAGAGACATGGACATTGCTCTTTTGCTCTTTTGACCTTGGTTTTGCTTTTACTCATGGAGAAAATTTTCATTTTTCTGTAGTTAAAAAAAAATTTTTTTTAAGAACCTCTAAGGTAGTTTTTATACTTGGAGAAGCTTTTCTTCAATATATATTTTTTAATTCCCATCTTCTGGCCGTTGTATGTTTCCTCTTTTTATATATATACCTTTAAATCTTTGATTTAGTTGGAATTTATTTTGGCGTAAGTTGTGAGAAATGGATGCAGCTTCTCCCCACCCGCCCCACCGGTGATACCCAGTTGCCTCAAATAATTTTTTAAATAATTCATTTTGCCTCATGCATTTGGAATTCTGCTTCTGTGCACTAAATTCTTTAATGTATTTGGGTCTATTTTTGGACTTTTATTCTGTCTCATTCTGTGGGCGTCTCCATATGCTACAGCCACGATGTTTTAATTACTTAAAGACCGGTCCAGGTTTCACTGTTTAAAACGTTGTTCCAGTGGTCTTATTTTCCTTCTAAGTGAACTTAGAAGCAGTATTTTTAGTTCTTTTTTAATCTTACTGATACTTTATGATTCTTGCATTCATTTGTAGCTAAATTCATGTAAAATTTTTTATTTTAGCCCTTCTTTTCTATGTCTCTTGATTTTTGTCTCATGTCTGCTTATGCCTTCAGAGCAATGCTAAATAATAGTGATCATAGTAGAAATTTTCATATTGTCTCCCTGATTTTAATGAATATGCTTTAGGCATTATGTATTAGTACTCATAAGTGGAATTGATCTGTATAGTGTTTTTTTTGTTTGTTTTTCATTGAGCTACAGTCTCACTCTGTCGCCCAAGCTGGAGTACGGTAGGATGATCTCAGCTCACTGCAGCCTCAACCACCTGCTCCCAACTCGTTTTTTCTTTAAATTATTTGTAGAGGCATGGTCTCACTTACACAGGCTGGTCTCCAACTCCTGGCCTCAAGTGATCCTCCGATCTCACGTCTCAAAGTGCTGGGATTACAGGTGTGAACTACCATGCCTGGCTTGTATGGTTCTTTTGTTGGTTGTTTATTACCATGTTTGGTTTTATTATCTTAGAAGTAATTTTTTTTTTTTTTTTAGACAGAGCCTTGCTCTGTCGCCTAGGCTGGAGTGCAGTGACGCGATCTCGGCTCACTGCAAGCTCCATCTCCCGGGTTTACGCCATTCTCCTGCCTCAGCCTCCCGAGTAGCTGGGACCACAGGCGCCTGCCACCACGCCTGGCTAATTTTTTGTATTTTTAGTAGAAACTTGGTTTCACCATGTTGGCCAGGATGGTCTCGATCTCCTGACCTCGTGATCGACCCGCCTCGGCCTCCTGAAGTGCTGGGATTACAGGCGTGAGCCACCGCGCCTGGCCGTCTTACAAGTAATTTTTAAACTTTCTAATTTTTTAATCTGCTGTGGAACAACTTAAATATCGTTGCTATTACTTGTTCCTTAAAGGTTTGGTGGTAGACTTCACCTGTGAAACTGAACAGTACTCTAGCTTTTGGGGGAATCGTTATTTATTTATTTATTTTTGAGCTGGGGTCTCGCACTGTCGCTGGGGCTGGAGTCCAGTGGCGCGATCTTAGCTCACTGCAACCTCTGCTTCCCTGGTTTACCCCGATTCTCCTGCCTCAGCCTCCCGAGCTGGGATTACAGGTGCCCACCACCACACCCGGCTAATTTTTTGTAAGTTTGGTAGAAATGGTGTTTCACTATGTTGGCCAGACTGGTCTTGAACTCCTGACCTAGTGATCCACCCATCTAGGCCTCCCAAAGTGTTGGTATTACAGGCGTGAGCCACCATGCCTGGCCGGGGGGAGTAGTTTTTAGTGATTGATTCTATTACTTATAATGTCATCAGTTTCTTTTGGAACCAGGTTTGGTAACTTATGTTTTCCATGGAATTTTTCTAATGTATTTATATATGTAGATGAACATAGTACCCTTATATTTAATTTAATGTTCTCTGTATCATATTTTGTGTTCTTCACATTGATTTCTTTGTTCTTTCCTACAGGAACAGGAAATATAGTGGTCATTATGATTAGCTATCCAAAAGGAAGAGAAATTTTGGAGCTGGTGCAGAAAGGAATTCCAGTAACGATGACCATAGGGGTTGGCACTCGGCACGTACAGGAGTTCATCAGCGGTCAGTCTGTGGTGTTTGTGGCCATCGCCTTCATCACCATGATGATTATCTCGTTAGCCTGGCTAATATTTTACTATATACAGCGTTTCCTATATACTGGCTCTCAGATTGGAAGTCAGGTAATGATGGATAACTCTGAATTTTGATTTTTAAAAGATAGTTCATAAATATGCCCCATATGTATTCCTAGAAGTTATATTTGACCGTATTCTTTTATTTTTGCTTATATTATTTAAGTATTCACATGACTTTTTGGAAATCACTTTTTAATTGGACTATGTTAAATTTTTTGTTTTGTGGGAGATTAGATACCTTTAATTCTGGGTTACTTTTTGCACATTTGTTTCCTGCAGGAACCCTCTTAGTCACTTGCCAGACACAAAGGAGTGATGAAAAGGCCTGAGTTAAGGGTGGACCTGTCCTTAGGTAGCCCTCATTCTCTGATGAGACCTAAAAGTGAGGAGCAGAGAGGAAATGGGGGCCTCTCTGTCTCCATCATGGAGCTGTAGTAAAGCCATTTATCTGTCTCAGTGACAGCAAAGAGAAGGGCCGTCAGAGAGCCAGTGGCTTCCCAAGGCAGGCCTTTTGAACGTCCCACTTATTTCTGTCATTGTGGAAAGTTGACTGTTCTGTCTTGAGTACTAGGAAGAGGCCTTTGGCTTTTAGGTACTTGAGTAGATGAGCATATGGTACCCCTATCCTTAGCTTCTTACTTTCTTGACAATATTTAAACATAAGATGTGGTTTCTTCTTCAGAAAAGAAATTGAAAATCAGTACTCTTGGTCACACACCTCTTAATGTTACATATGGCTGTTCTGCATATTAAGACTTGAATGGCTTTTGTTGTTTGGGGGCTTTTTTATTAAGTTGGTGCAAAAGTAATTGCGGTTTTTGCCATTAAAAGTTATTTTCAGTATAGTCATTTGACTTTGCCTTTCAAGTGAAATGTTTTCTGTATGCTTATGTGTATTGTATTTGTGACTTTTAAGAAAAATAGTGATTTAATTTAAATTATTCAATAACTATATTAATATTTTCCCACCCAAGAGCCATAGAAAAGAAACTAAGAAAGTTATTGGCCAGCTTCTACTTCATACTGTAAAGCATGGAGAAAAGGTAATATTTTCATGGGTTTTTTTTGTGGTTTAGAGTAGAGAATATGCTGTACATGTTTATTTTAAAGAAGGATTGGCAGAAATATTTTGCTATTGAGAAGAGCCTTCTAGACCTGCATTAATATGGTAGCCGCTAGTCACATACGGCAATTTGCATTTAAACCAATTTAATTTAAAATTGAGCCCCTCACTGGTGACAGTTCAAGCACTTTGGGAGCCACAGTGGCTGGTTGCTGCCCTCCTGGACCGCTCTGACATTCCCAGCAGTGAAGAAAGTGGTGCTGGTTAGAACCAGGTAACTATAAAGATGTGGAGGAGCATACAGTCTTCACCAACCCTTGATACCTTCAGTTCATTTCTGTTAAATCTGAGACTATGTGTCCACTCCTTTAGTTACAGGGAGAACATGTTGGCATTTGTGGAGAAGGAGAGAAAAGGGGTTTTTAAAACTACTTTTGGAAAAGGAAACATTTTGACATGGCCAATCTGACACTTAAAAGTTCAAAATCATACCAGAATTTTAAAGCATTTTTGAAATAGGACAAATCCTGAATCTAGAAGCTCAGATTCTTGGAGAATAGATGCCTTAAAAGGAAAACTGTTGCTAATGCGTAGTATTTATTCTTTTCATAGTTCTTCTGGTGTGCTTTAAAATGTTGATAATTGTGTTGACTTGCAGCTATGACTTGGTGTAGCTGTTTGGATTTTCATGTTATCTCACTAAGTTATCAAAAATCTGTGCCACCCTCCAGTCTCTATTCCCCTTCAGAAAGAAAGAGTACCTGCACTTATGGTGTATATCTCTTTCTTTGACCTTAAAGGATTAAAGCAAAAATAACACATTAGCTTACAGACCTTTCATTTTTTTTTTTTTTTTCATTTGGAATTGATAGTAATGAGGCTTCGAGAATTGTATTGGTGGCTACCATTCCTTTGCTAATTGCTTTCGTACTGCAGTTCAATTTTAACAGTTTGTGCAAGGTATTGTTTTCTTTCCATGTAAATGTGTTGAACAGAAAAAGTAAAAAAAAAAAAAAGATCACATCTCATGGCTTAAGATTAGTGTCTGGTTTGCAGATCACTCAGAAGGTCCTTAGGGATCGAGTTTCCAGTTAATGCCTGTGACAAACTCTGCACACATTCAGCATAGTCAGTTACTTGACAAGCATGTGGTTTACGTTCCTCTTGGAACATGCCTTCTTAGCCTCCTTAGCAGGAAATCGCAGTTCTTTTTTTTTCTTCTTTAATAAGACAGTCTCACTCCGTCACCCAGGCTGGAGTGCAGTGGCGCATTCTCGGCTCACTGCAAGCTCTGCCTCCTAGGTTCACGCCATTCTCCTGCCTCAGCCTCCCAAGTAGCTGGGACTACGGGTGCCCGCCACTACACCCAGCTAATTTTTTGTATTTTTAGTAGAGATGGGATTTCACCATGTTGGCCAGGATGGTCTCGATCTCCTGACCTCGTGATCCGCCTGCCTCGGCCTCCCAAAGTGCTGGGATTACAGGCTTGAGCCACCGTGCCTGGCCGGAAATCGAAGTTTTTAAGTGTGAGAAGACGTAGATGTATTTGTTTAATTTACTGAATCGAATCTTTGAGAACACAAGTAAATTGATATTATCCTCTTCCCATACAGAACAATTTTGAAAATATGCTTCCAGGGACTGTTTCTTGAAAGTTGTCAAAATAATGGTTGAAAAAAAGAGGAGCCTTGCAAAAAAGCCTTATGGTGTATATATTTTTAAGAAGATTCCTAAATGATCCATGAGGTATATACAGATGGCCCCCAACTTCCAATGGTTTGGCTTAACAATTTTTCAACTTTATGACAGTGTGAAAGCAATACGCATTCAGTAGAAACCATACTTCAAGTGTTGTTTTTAACTTTCAGTTTGGTATGCAGTAGATTATATGAGAGAGTCAGTACTTTATTATAAAATAGGCTTTGTGTTAGATGATTCTGCCCAAGTGTAGGCTAATGTAAGTGTTCTGAGCATGTTTATGGTAGGCCAGGCTAAGTCATGATGTTCAATAGGTCAGGTACATTGAATGCATTTTACACTTAATGATATTTTCAACTTACAATGGATTCAGTGAGATGTGACCCCATGGTAAGTTGAAGAACAGCTGTACACAGATTTTCTTGCAATTTTACATTTTAAACTGTACAAAAAAATGTGTTTTCTTCAGACTACATTGTATTCCATTCTAGAGAAAATAAAAATTAGTGTTGTCTAATTTTTATTTTCTTGTAGACTAATTCACAGTAATGTATAAAGTTGCAAACCATTATTAGAGATTTTAAAAATTATTTAATCATTCTTGCCCCACATATGATTACTTTCATTGAAACATACAATTTTAAATGTTGTTACAAGTTCATTTTAATACAGTCTTTGATAACAATATCTACATATAAAATCAAATGTGGTCGCGCCTGTAATCCCAGCACTTTGGGAGACAGAGGCAGGAGGATCGCTTGAGTCCAGGAGTTTGAAAACAGCCTGGGCAACATGGTGAAACCCTGTCTCTTAAAAAAAATAAATAGGCTGGGCGTGGTGGCTCACGCCTGTAATCCTAGTACTTTGGGAGGCCGAAGTGGGTGGATCACAAGGTCAGGAGTTCGAGACCAGCTTGACCAATATGGTAAAACCCCATCTCTACTAAAAATACAAAAACTAGCTGGGCATGGGTGGTGCGTGCCTGTAGTCCCAGCTACTCAGGAGGCTGAGGCAGGAGATTCACTTGAACCCAGGAGGCGGAGGTTGCAGTGAGCCAAGATGATGCCACTGCACTCCAGCCTGGCAACAGAGCGAGGCTGTGTCTCAAAAAATTAATTAATAAGAGAAAATGTTTACTGCTTCCATATTGACAGGTGGTGCACATGGCTAAATATATATTTAAATACAGCAATTACATAAGAACAGTGTAATTGTGTTCCATAAAATGAACTGCCTAAATTTGCAGCCATATGCTGATACTGATTGGGAGTCTCTGAGTCCCTACCCGAGCATCCTGGGAAGGAGAATGCTGCTGGCCTGTCTTGTGTCAGATGGCCACTGTGGCCCTGGCTGCCTTGGTTAATGGATGAGACCAGGTGTGTAGATCCAGGAGTTATTCCAGAGAAGTAGGGAGGGCTGATTACCACCAAAGAGGTTCATGACCCATAGATTCTTAGAAGTGGAAATTTTGTCACAAGACTACTTTCTCCCCAGCAATTTTTGTTTCTTTGTACCTTTATTAAGTAGTTAGATGAAAAATGGTAGCTTACTCTAATTTGTCATTCTAAGTTTTATGTTTGAAAAGTAATTTATTTTATAATATAGCAGACATTTGCATTTCTACAGCATTTAAAACATGAATACTTTTTAACAACCCATGAACACTTGCTTAGTATTTAAACATTTTAAACTGTACAAAAATGTTTTCTTCGGTCTACATCATATTCCATTCTAGAGAGACTAGTGGTGTCTAATTTTTATTTCCTTGTAGACTCATTCACAGTAATGTATAAACTTGCAAACCATTATTAAAGACTTTAAAAATTATTTCATCGTTTTTGCCCTGCATATGATAAATGATAGTATTTACTTTCATTGAAACATATAATTTTAAATGTTGAAAGTTCTTTTTTTTTGTTGTGCTTTTTGAGATGGAATCTTGCTCTGTCACCAGGCTGGAGTGCAGTGGTGCAATCTTGGCTCGCTGCAACCTCCATCTCCCAGGTTCAAGCGATTCTCCTGCCTCAGCCACCCGAGTAGCTGGGACTACAGGCATGCACTACCATGCCCAGCTAATTTTTGTATTTTTAGTAGAGAGGGGTTTCACCATGTTGGCCAGGATGGTCTCAGTCTCTTGACCTCATGATGTGCCTGCCTTGGCCTCCCAAAGTGCTGGGATTACAGGCATGAGCCACCGTGTCTGGCTGTGAAAGTTCATTTTAATACAGTCTTTGATAACAATATCTACATAAAAAAATCAAACATCTGGCATGGTGGCTCATGCCTGTAATCCCAGCACTTTGGGAGGCTGAGGCAGGAGGATCGCTTGAGTCCAGGAGTTTAAGACCAGCCTGGTCAACACGGTGAGGTCCTGTCTCTTTTTTCTTTTTTTTTTTTCAGATGACGTCTCGCTGTCACCCAGGCTGGAGTGCAGTGGCGCCATCTTGGCTCACTGCAGCCTCTGACTCCCTGGTTCAAGTGATTCTTCTGCCTCAGCCTCCCGAGTAGCTGGGACTACAGGCATGCGCCACCATGCCCAGCTAATTTTTGTATTTTTAGTAGAGACGAGGTTTCACCATGTTGGCCAGGATGGTCTCGGTCTCCTGACCTCATTATCGGCCCTCCTTGGCCTCCCAAAGTGCCGGGATTACAGGTGTGAGGCATTGCACCTGGCCAAAACTGTGTCTCTTTAAAAAATAAATAAATAAAACAATAATAATAAATAAGATAAAATGTTTACTGCTTCCATATTGACAGGTGGTGCACATGGCTAAATATATTTTTAAATACAGTAATTACATATGAACAGTGTATTAGTATTTAAACACTGTTCATATCTGATTAGGCAGACAATGAAATTTTTTCCTTTTCAGTCATATTATTTAGATAATCCCCTAATAGTGGTAAACACCAACTAGAGTTGTTTGTGTTTTAGTTTCGCTGGTTGTACCACTGTAGAAGGGAATTCATCGTTGTCGTAGTCCGGATGTGGTGAGTTTACCAAGGGATATACTATGTGCCAAGAATGTAGTAACACTTTCTTCTTCTTTTTACAGGGAATTGATGTTGATGCTGAAAATTGTGCAGTGTGTATTGAAAATTTCAAAGTAAAGGATATTATTAGAATTCTGCCATGCAAGTATGTTCTTTTTACCTACTGAGATGTTAAAAATTATTTGACAAGTTTTAGGTGTCTGACAAAATAGTTATTTGTTTTTTATGATATGAAGATCTTGTTATTTGTGATCATCTCCTCTTTTTAGAAAAGCAGCTTGGATTTTAAATGTAATGTCTTCACTGCTCTTTAAGATTGCTTTACCTAGGAGATTCTTAGGTTACATTAAGACTCGTTAAGTATCTTTGTCATAGATTGGCTTTTAGTCTTCTAAGCAAGGCTTTATCAGAATCCTAGGAATTACATTATACGTTTAGCAGTGCAAAAAGTAAGCTGTGTTGGGAGCAAGAAAAATGAGGGACCAGGGAGAAGGGCCTGAAACAGCCTAAATGAAGTGGGTTGGGGAGGGCAGTAGTTTGCTGTTATTTGCACCCTGGACTTGCGTTCCTTCTAAGGTTGTTTAAAATCAGTATTCCTAGCTGGCTCACACCTGTAATCCCAGCACTTTGGGAGGCTGACTCAGGTGTTCAAGACCAGCCTGGTCAACATGGTGAAACCCCGTCTCTACTGAAAATACAAAAATTAGCCGGGTGTGGTGGTGTACGCCTGTAATCCCAGCTACTCAGGTAGCTGAGGTAGGAGAATTGCTTGAACCCGGGAGGCAAAGGTTACAGTGAGCCAAGATTGCGCCACTGCACTCCAACCTGGGTGACAGAGTGAGACTCCATCTCAAAAAAAAAAAAAGAAATTTTTTTTCCTTTATTCTGGTTACACTAAGGGTTTTGTTTTAGTAGCAGGAAGTTGCTTTAAAAAAAAAATAGAACGAAAAGGGTGGGCATGGTGGCTCATGACTGTAATCCCAGCATTTTGCAAGGCCAAGGCAGGTGGATTACTTAAGGCCAGGAGTTTGAGACCAGCCTGGCCAACATGGCGAAACCCCGTCTCTATTACAATAAAAATACAAAAATTAGCCAGACATGGTGGCGCATGCCTGTAATCCCAGCTACTCAGGAGGCTGAGGCATGAGAATTGCTTGAACCTGGGAGGTAGAGGTTGCAGTGAGCTGAGATCACGCCATTGCACTCCAACCTGGGCAACATGGCAAGACTCTATCTCCAAAAAAAGTAATGGGATACTTTAATTGATAACTTTTTAAAAAGAATTGCTTTGTTAAAAAGGTTCATTTTGTGTGCAGAAATGGTATGTTTTAAGTCTGATGAATTTTAATTATACTTCACAGCTATTAGAAGCAGGTCACAAGTCAGTATATAATTATATTTTGCTTTGTTTGCAGGGTATTTTAGTATATATCCAAGTACTTTTTAGTAGATTGGTAACTGTGTGAAGGAAATGCAGCCATGCATATCAGGGTAACCAAATGAAAGTTTCCTGACTAAAGGTAGCTGGTTTAAACCCACAAACATTTACATGTGGTTGGTACGATGGGTACTGAATAAACTGGGTTGGGTCAGTGTAAGTTGATCATGTCATGTAGAAAGTTATTAAAGTAGAGAAAAGAGTTTTTACTCCAGGCTGGTTTAGGGCAAGTCTTTCTAACTTAAAAAACAATGTCCAGGAAGCTGCACAGACGAGCAGTGCTAGGTCATGCTGGTGGCTGAGCTGGAGTTTGGACCTGACCCTCAAATGCAGGCACATGTGCACAGTTCCTGGTCTCCTTACCGGGCTTTTGACTTTTCCCTTATTTTCTCCTGTGCTTTATTTATGTAACAAATTTCCCAATAAAGCCAACATGTTCCTTTTATGTTTTTGTAAAAATTATTTCTTACGTACTGGTTTTTTTTTTATTTATTTTTTATTTTTTTGAGACAGAGTTTCGTTCTTGTTGCCCAGACTGGAGTGCAAGGGGTGTGATCTTGGCTCACTACAACCTCCGTCTTCCGAGTTCAAGCGATTCTCCTACCTCAGCCTCCTGAGTAGCTGGGATTACAGGCGTCCGCCAACACACCCAGCTAATTTTTGTACTTTTAGTGTAGAGCGGGTTTCACTATGTTGGCCAGGCTAGTCTCGAACTCCTGACCTCAGGTGATCCACCCACCTCAGCCTCCCAAAATGTTGGGATTACAGGCGTGAGCCACCATGCCTGGCCGCAAGTACTGTTACTTTTAATTCCACTAGCAGATTTCTGTTTGTAAAAAAAGTCTCCAAACAACAGTAATAATACCAAACAATGACCAAGTAAGCTCTGTGCCTGGCGCAGTTGTACACACGTTGCATGTGCCCCTCAGCGCCCCTGGTGTGGGGCAGAGAGTGTAGGAACCTAGTTGAGAGTCCCAGCCATTGAATGGCATGCTCGTGTCTAAGCCCAGCCTGTCTGGCTCTGAAACCCATACATGCTATAATCTTAACTCCTTTTCTTCATCTCTTGTAGAAAATAGATTTATCACACAGGAAAAGTTAGCCAACTGAGACAAATCAGCAAAAGAAGAAAATATATATGCCTTTTTTTTTTATTCTGAAAGTTATAGGTGTTCATTATAGAAAAATGGAGTGTATACAAAACTGTGTAAGAGAGAAAAAAAGTGTTGCGTAAGCCTGCGTAAGCCTACCACCGCAAGATGATCTGTTAATATTTTTGTTGTATTTCCATTTGAGTCATTTTATGGACTTTATATAAGGTACTGCCAGTTTAGTATTAGTTTACTTATTACTACTAGTTGATTTATGCCACATTTTTTCCCAAAAATTTTTCAAATAACTTACAAAGGCACATAAAAATGTACAACCTAGTGTGAGGGCATAAATAAGCCATGGTTTTTGTAGGGTGAAGGGAAATTTTCCCTAGAAGTGCCAGATTCTGTTTCACATGGAAGAGAGAATAATGACATGATAAGTAAGTAGACTAGAATGTTGATTTGACGCCAGCTAACTTGTAATGAGAGGATGAGTTGGTAGAATGTCTTATTTCTTTTATAAGTTATATAAACATTGATTTTAAAAACATTAACACATACTTAATTTTTTTAGGCATATTTTTCATAGAATATGCATTGACCCATGGCTTTTGGATCACCGAACATGTCCAATGTGTAAACTTGATGTCATCAAAGCCCTAGGATATTGGGTTTGTTACATTTTTGTTTATATTCAATCTCTGCCCCAGTTCTTCCTGAGTGATTCAGTTTCATTATTGACTAGAAACAAGAGGAACGGGCGAAAGGCTCCTAATATCCTTGTGGTTCTCTGAAGAAAATTTCCTCACTATTAAAAATGACTTCTTAAGGCAGTCCAAAAAAATCAGTGAAATAGATTTGTGATGATAGAATAATATGCTCAGATGTTTCCCAGAGAGTTTGTAATTACTTAGAGTAATGTGTTTTGGTATGCTGCACCACAGAATGTATATATGCTAGTTTTGTATAAACAAGAATCATAAAATATTTGAAAAGGAAGGAGCCACATAGGTTGTCTGGCTTAATATGTGCATTCTACATGTGAAGAAACCAAAGCCAATACTTCTTAACATCAAATATTATTCCCTATTCCTAGGTTTCAGAATCAAATAGACCTGGGGCAGTTTGTCCTGCATTGAAGTTGGTTCATCACTGATGGTCACAGGGCCTTACACAGAAGACGGGGGCAAAATGAAAAGGAAATCATAGGAGTAGCTAGCCACGTGCTGAACAAATGCCTTCCATACCTTGTTATGTCTAATCTTCACAGTTGCTATATAAGTGCTGTCACTATTCCCATCTTACTAATTAGAAACTTGAGCTTAGAGAAGCTAAATAACTCACCTGAAGTCATACAGTTATTTAATGGGAACTAATCTTTCAAATAAAGTTTGCTTAATTCCAGGGTCTGAGCACTTAACTATTACCCTACCCAAAGAGGGGAACATAGAGGGAAAGAATACTTTTGTTTAGGTTATATTTTTTATTGGTTTTAGAGTCTTCATACAATCTATTAATGTCTCAACATATTCTCATTTAGAAGATAAACAGTTTTAGGCCGGACTTGGTGGCTCATGCCTATAATCTTGGCATTTAGGGAGGCTGAGGTGGGCGGATCACTTGAGGTCAGGAGTTCCAGACCAGCCTGGCCAACATGGTGAAACCCTGTCTCTACTAAAAACACAAAAAAAAATCAGCCAGATGTGATGGCACGCTCCTATAGTCCCATTTACTTGGGAGACTGAGACAGGAGGATCGCTTGGGTCTGGGAGGCAGAGGTTGTAGTGAACTGAGAGCGTGCCACTGCACTCTAGCCAAGGCAACAAGAGTGAAACCCTGTCTCTCTCAATCAATCAATTAAAAAAAAAAAAAGTTTTTAAATAAAGATCTTTGGGGAAAATAATTTATCAAATATCGTCTTGTTGCTAAATATATTTTTAGAGTTTTTCATAGAGTTTATTGTGGAATTAGAAACTGCAGTTTGGGTTTTTTTAAATGATCATTTTATGCAGCTTTAAGCCATTATGGTCATGTAAGCTTCTATAGTGGCATCATTAAAGCGCTTAGAGAAGCTAAATAACTCACCTGAAGTCATACAGTTATTTAATGGGACTTATTTCCCAGACTGCAGTCTGTTTAAAATGTCCCCTCATCTTCTAGCTTAAGAGACCGCTTCCTTAACAACTACTGTCATTCTCTATGAATTACAATTCATTTGTTTTTTTGAGACAGCCTCACTCTGTTGCCCAGGCTGGAGTGCAGTGGTATGATCTCAGCTCACTTCAACCTCTGCCTCATGGGTTCAAGTGATTCTCCTGCCTCAGCCTCCCAAGTAGCTAAGCTTACAGGTGCACTCCACTACATCCAGCTAATTTTTTATATTTTTTGTAGAGATGGAGTTTTACCACATTGGCCAGGCTGGTCTCAAACTCTTGGCCTCAAGTGATCCATCCGCGTCAGCCTCCCAAAGTGCTGAGATTACACGCATGAGCCATCGCACCTGGCCACTGAATTGTTTTTTAAATGTGAGTTCCAGAACGCCTTCACTGTGTGCTCACAGGAAGGTGGCGGTCAGTGTTCAAGAACGGTCTTACTAGAAACTGAGACTATTTTGATGTCCAGAAAATTTGTCTCTCTTCTAGAATTTCTTCACATATTCATGGTTTTCAATAATTGTAGCTATGTTTAGCATGGCATAACATGCTTTCTTAATGAACCTGGCTCATCCCCCTTTACTGCAGAAACTGTAGCTTAGATGAGACGATGAGCCTTTGTGGGGACAGCATTTTAAATAATAGCATACAGGGAGCTTGATGGATTTCTTTCTTGGCAAGGTTTTAGAACTCTTCCTTCATTAGATACACTCTAAAGCATATTCTAAGTTGTTTTCTTCATCAGTCAGTAGTTTAACATGCTTTTCATTTCTGGATGTTTGTATGAAAGGAATTTCACTGACTGTAGCATAGGGACTTTAATCCTCATGAGTTTTGTTTGTGGAAATAAGCTATATATTTCATATATTAAAAATTAAGACTCTTCATCTCACATAAGGTTGAGTTGCTTTCTTAGAATGTTAATTTCAGAAAGCTAGACTATATATCCCCAGAATGCCTAATTTATTTTTTGATGAACAGAACCTATAGTAACATTAAACCTCAGAAACTTACTGTCTTGTCTTTGACTTTTGAATCTTTAGACAGTACACCCTTTTCTGTGGACCTGTTGACCCCCTCCTGCAGTGGATGCTTTAGTTAGCCATGCTGTGCCCTCTTGGAGTAACTAGTTCTCTATTTCCCCATAACTGTAGTGAGAGTCAGCCTCAGTCCACCACACAGACTTTAAAGGTTTACAGCTATTTCAGTGATCCTTGTCACTTGTTTTCATTCATTTGGCAAGGATGGGTCAAAGAAAAGACATCTGAGGTGCTAGATCTGCACTTGGCTCTGGGGAGACAAAGATGAGTGAGACACAGCCCCTTCCCTCACGGGCTCTTGAGGATTTCACTTTCTGGACTGGTGGGGGGTCAGGGCACGCACACAGACACGACACGGCCAAAGAGGCCTGTTTGAAGTGCTGCCTGTGGGAGCACAGAGGAGGGTCATACGGCCTGCTGCCAGGTAGAAATTGGAAGGTGGAGCAAGTGCATTTGAGAGGGCAGTTGAGCTGGGTGTTGCATTATCCGTCAGACACACCAAAGTCTTGAGGCTAATGCTATGTCTGGGGAGTGAACAGACAGGGTTGGAGGTTGGCAGGTAGTTAAGTTAGCAGATATAGGTAAACAGGTTGGGGCTAGGCTGGCAGAAGTTTGGGTATTGTGATGTCACAGCCACAGGATTTGTTGCTTGGTGTGTCAGGAGCAGGGATGGGAGGGCGTTACGTTGCTGGTGAGGCAGGAGGGGCAGGTTCTAGAACCAGGTGGAGCAGGGCTGTTGGGGGCGCAGCCCGGTGGAGGGAGGTGGAGTGCCTGTGAGTGGTGTTTTTACTTGAAGCAATGGTGAGATGCTGAGCCAGATGGTCATAGTGAACTTGCAGCAACCCCTCATCTAATAAGTCACTTTACCAGGAGTTCCATCCACTTACAACACAGCTTTGACTCTGGTATTAATCAAATGAGGTTTCTAGCTGTTCCCCAAATGTCGAGACTTAATGTAGTGTTGCTGATAGCGTCTCCAGCCCTCCACTTTCACTGTTTTCCTTTCTTTAAAGCAGCAAATGGAAGCGGGAGGGAAGGTGGAGGCAAACTACAGCTGATCACCACCCTGTCCATATGGAAGGAGCCAGAGTAACTTTTTCAAGAAAATAATACAGTCTGAAGGCATCTGTTGTTCAAAAGCCTTGTTTATCTCTGAAACCCTAGTGCCTCACTGTAAACCAGCACAGGGCGGTAATCAGAGTTCATGGCTATGGCCTCATATCCTCTGTCCAGGAAGGCAAGGAAGTGGAGGAAAGCTTCACTTTCTGTCAATAGTTTAAAAGGTGGCATTGCTTGTATCAAGGAGGGGAAATGTTTTTTAGAATAAAAAACACGTAGGCCTTAGGAGGTTGGTTGTCGAGAAAGAATTCATTTTCTGTGATACTAGATAAGGGAGACACTGTTGTGCTTTTTGCCAGATTCATTGTATAGAAGTACATAATATCGTGTGTGAATTACGAGCCAGATGACAGATAAGCTTTGATCATGTTTTTCTTCTGTTCTAATTCTCAAGGGAGAGCCTGGAGATGTCCAGGACATGCCTGCTCCAGAATCTCCTTCTGGAAGGGATCTGGCTGCAAATTTGAGTCTAACTTTACCAGAGGACGACGGAAGTGATGAGAGCAGCCCACCATCAGCCTCCCCCGCTGAATCGGAGCCACAGTGCGATGCCAGCTTTAAAGGAGATGCAGGGGAAAATACGGCATTGCTAGGTGAGCGGTGTGCAAATTATAAAACAATGGCATGTGGCCAGGTGTGGTGGCTCACACCTGTAATCTCAGGGCTTTGGGAGATTAAGGTGGGAGGATTGCTTGAGTTTGAGCTATCAAAGAATAAATAACCAGGAATTAAATATAACCTACGTTTTACTTAATGTATGAAGCTCTTTCTATGTTGATAAATAGGTGATTTTTTTACAGCTACATAGTACTACATTTTGAATTTTCTATAATTTCTTGAAACTATTCATGGGTGTTTATTATCACTAGCACTTTGAAATCATTATGTATATATACTTACCACTTGTCTAATTGTTTTCTGTCACTCTGATAGGTAAAGTGTAGTGAACTGCATGTATTTTTTGTTTGGTTTTTTTTTTTGTGTGTGTTGTTTTACTTTTTGAGGCAGGGTGTTGCTCTGTCACCCTGGCTGGAGTATACTGATGAGAACACAGCTCACTGCAGCCTCAAATTCCCAGGCTTAACTAGTCCTGCCACCTCTGCCTCCCAAGTAGCTGGGACCACAGGCACGTGCCACCACATCTAGCTAACTTTTAAAATTTTTTTGAAGTGATGAAGTCTCACCATGTTGTCTAGACTAATCGCATTTTTTTTTTTTATTACCGATGAGGTTAATCCTCTTTTCAGATTATTGGTCATCTTTATTCTTTGATGAACTGCTTATTTTATCCCTTGCTTATTTTTTTATGAAGATAGTAATTTTTTCATATTGATCCTTAGAGCTTTTTATACACTGAAAATACTAGGGCTTTGTCATATATTTTGTGTATTTCTCCCCCAGTTTCTGTATCCTTTGGCTTTTCATTGTACTTTCCAGATAGAAATTATGTAGTTTAGTTTCCTGTTCTCTCATGATTCTGCCTTTGATTGCATGCTGACTTAGGAAGGCCTTTCTTATCTTAGGATTATAAAGATATTGACCTGTACTTTGCGAGTATTTGTGGGTTTTGTATTTTACATTGAAATCTTAGTATATATAGTTTAAGGTGTGAGGAGAGATTTAACTAATCTTATTTTTTTCCTTTTATTCCACTTGTTAAACCTAAGTGTTTAATCAGTTGTCCTAATATTGTTTAGTGAATAATAATTACAAATAATATGTTTTGATATTTGCAAGGCAAATTCTTTTATCTTTATTCTTCTTTTAAAAAAAATTCCTGGGCTATTCTATATTATTGTTATTGTTATTGTTTTTGTTTGAGATGGAGTCTTGCTCTGTCGGCCAGTCTGGAGTACAGTGGCGTGATCTCAGCTCACTGCAGCCTTCGCCTCCTGGGTTCAAGTGATTTGCTGGCCTCAGGTGATGTGCCCTCCTTGGCCTCCCAAAGTGCTGGGATTACAGGCATGAGCCACCACACCTGGCCTATTCTACATTTTTTAAAGATTAATTCTAAAATCATTTTGCCAAGTAAAAGAAAATCTCAGAATTTTTATTGGAATTGGATTCACTTAAAGGTTATTTTAAATGGGAAGAATCGATGCTTCAGATTTTGAATTTTGTCATCCTAGAAGAGGAAGCGTATTTTTCCAAAGCAGTAAGATTGAAACTAAGTCAGTTTCTTTGTGGCACATTTAGGATTCGTGAGGCAAAAACAGGTAGAAATATTACAATGTAAGTATTAACAGCACCAGAGGAAGAAAAGAATGCATTGTGGAAGAAAAAAGGAGAATAGATTTCGGAGAATTATAAAATTGTAGCGATTGATTGGTGTAGGCATTCTCCTAACCAGCTCTCCAGCTAAGACTGGGCCACCTTACAAAGCAGCATGTTCTGTTGGTAAATGGCTCTTATTTTTAAGAATGTCTTTATATGGAGCCAGAATGCATACCTGTGTGATTTTGCCATTGCCTTCCAACTCCAGAAAGAAAACTAACTTTGCCTTCTCTAGTACATGAGCACCCTGGAGATACTAAGACTCTTATTCTGACTAAATGTCCTTCAAGAGCAGCCTCCAGAGTTTTCTGCATTCTTGCTACCTTGTTAACTTGCAGTGCATTACAGTTTACCATTGGCTGTCCTGAAATGCCCTCTTAGAACAAAGATAATACAATTTGAAATCATGGGTAGAAATAAAGAAGGTGGAAGCAGCAGCTAGGTTTCCAAAGCAGCAGAATGTCAGATACCTTCTGAAGCAGCCAGTTTCCCCCATTCCCCACCCAACCCCATGTGGGGCTCACATTCTGTTTTTCTCTCTTTGTCCTTTTTTTAAATTCCCAAGTATTGTGCATCAGCAAGTTGACTTTATCTGTTAATGTTCTTTCAGCCTTGTAACGGTAACAATATAAATTGAAAAACACTAAATTAGAAAAATCAGGCATTAATACCTCCAGAATAAAATGTAGTTTCACTTATAGTTGAGAAAACATTTACTAGACTCTTAGGAGCAACTAGGAAATGAGTGTGGAAGTTACTATGGTAGACCCTGGAGAAGGTGTTTTCCTGTGGAAGTGCACCTTCCACTGTCCAGTTACGTCACTCTCCACCTACTTCACCTCCTTGAAGGGAGTGTAAAATATTTGGTTGAGTGGGGGATTGCAAAATATTTGATTGGGTGTCGGGGGGATTGGAGAGATAGTGATCAAAAGGTGCAAAGTTTCAGTTAGGAGTAAGTTCAAGAACTCCATTATACAGCATGGTGACTACAGTTCATAACAATGCATAGTATTCTTGAAAGATGCCCAAAGAGTAGATTTTAAATGTTCTCACTTTGAATAAGTATGTCAGGTAATGCACATGAATTACTGTGATTTAGCCATTCCACAATGTATACATGTTTCAGAACATCATGTTGTATACCATAAATATATGCAGTTTTTGTCAATTTAAACAGTAAAAACACATTTTATATTTATAAAGCAAGAGGAAACATTTTGAGATTACTTATGGTATTTCACCATTTAATAGAAACTTTAGGCTGGACATGGTGGCACACAATTGTAATCCTAGCACTTTTGGAGGTGGGGTGGTGGGGAGCAGATTACATCGCATGAGGCCAGCCTGGGGAACGTACAGAAACCCTGTCTCTACAAAACATTAGCAGGGCATAGCATGTGCCTGTAGTCCCAGCTGTCTGGGAAGCTGAGGTAGGAGGATCACTTGAACCCAGCAGGTCAAGGATGCAGTGAGCCATGGCCATGATCATGTCACTGCACTCCAGCCTGGGTGAGAGAGTGAGACCCTGTCTCAAAAGAGAAACTTTAAATTGGCAAAATAAAAAGTAGTGGGTTCTACTGCTATCTTTAAGGAAGTATTCTATTCTAAGAGCCTTTTGTGTGGAGTGATTTTTGTATACCTAGTAATAGCAACTGTCTGGATTTCAGTACCAGCTCCTCCTCTTCCTTGCCATCTATACACCAGGGCTGGTGACGTGTTAATCTCTACCTCTTAGGGTCAATATAAATACTGGCTATTTTCATTGGTGGCAGCGTCACCATCACCTTAACTACTTGTTCAACTTTTGGGAACATCTTCTGGTACCACCATCTCTGACTGTCTTTAAAGACTGATCTTCTGATGAGATTAATGTTGGCTAGGCTAATGCTAAAAAACTCCTCATATGACAAAGATGTTTACCAGTTTTTCTTGGTGACTATCAATGGGTTATCAGTTTTCCATATATGTTTTCTTTACAATTTTCTGTTAGCCGGGCATGGTGGCTCATGCCTCTAATCCTGCATGTAATGGTAGACCCTGGAGAAGGTGTTTTCTCCACTTTGGGAGGCTGAGGTGGGTGGCCACCTGAGGTTAGGAGTTCGAGACTAGCCTGGCCAACATGGTGAAACCTTATCTCTACTAAAAATGCAAAAGATCACTGAGTGTGGTGGTGGGCGCCTGTAATCCTAGCTACCCAGGAGGCTGAGGCAGGAGAATTGCTTGAACCTGGGAGGTGGAGGTTGCAGTGAGCCGAGATGGTGCCATTGCACTCCAGCCTGGGCAACAGAGTGAGACTCCATCTCAAAAAAAAAAAAAAAAGTTTTCTGTTTACCATCTTGAATTATCTCCAAGTGAGTAACTGTGTTTGTGTAGTTGAAGCTCGGAATATGCTACCCTCTTCTCCTGATGGAGTAGCTTGTGTCGTTCTCTTGCAGAAGCCGGCAGGAGTGACTCTCGGCATGGAGGACCCATCTCCTAGCGCACGTGCCCACTGAAGTGGCACCGGCAGAAGTTTGGCTTGAACTAAAGGACATTTTATTTTTTTTACTTTAGCACATAATTTGTATATTTGAAAATAATGTATATTATTTTACCTATTAGATTCTGATTTGATATACAAAGGACTAAGATATTTTCTTCTTAAAGAGACTTTTCGATTAGTCCTCATATATTTATCTACTAAAATTTACTATGAACAGTGTGTTGCTTCAGACTTACAAAGACAACTGGGGCACGTACTCTAATGTAAAAGACAGGTGGTGTTTCTGTATAATAGTCTGGCTGCTACGGTACTGTAAAAAGCTGGTTAATTCTATTTTTCAAGGTTTTGGCTAAGCACATCAATTTTAGACTAGTTGAAGTGGAACTGTATAATTCAATTCGGTAATCGATCACATGGGCTTTCCCTGGAGGAAATTTTTTTTTTTTTTTAAGAACTTGAAACTTGTAACTGAGATGTCTATAGCTTTTTTGCCCATCTGTGTTGTATGTGGAGATTTCAAAACCTGAGAGCACTTTTTCTTTGTTTAGAATTAGGAGAAAGTCACTAGATGACTTTAGGATTTGCATTTTTCCCTTTATTGCCTCATTTCTTGTGACGCCTTGATGGGGAGGGAAATCTGTTTATTTTTTCCTACAAATAAAAACCTAAGATTCTATATTGCACATGAGCATTAAGTTCTTTATTGCCTTGTTAAGGAAAATGAGTAGGCAGACTGAGAATCTGTTATATTGATTTCAGTTACAATTTAATTTTTACAATTAAAAGGGCGAAAGATAATACAATTTTAATTTTTATTGTTGACTCGAAATAACCAGTTTTCTTGATTAGAGTTTAAGCAGATTTCTTTTTTTTTTTTTTTTTTTTTGAGACGGAGTCTTGCTCTGTCGCCCAGGCTGGAGTGCAGTGGCCTGATCTCAGCTCACTACAAGCTCCGCCTCCCGGGTTCACGCCATTCCCCTGCCTCAGCCTCCCGAGTAGCTGGGACTACAGGCGCCCACCACCTCGCCCGGCTAGTTTTTTGTATATTTAGTAGAGACGGGGTTTCACCGTGTTAGCCAGGATGGTCTCGATCTACTGACCTTGTGATCCGTTCGTCTTGGCCTCCCAAAGTGCTGGGATTACAGGCTTGAGTCACCGCGCCCGGCCCAGAGTTTAAGCAGATTTAATACCATGACCTTGGTAACCATTTCTTCTTTTTTACTTGCTTGCTGTTCTTTTGGGTCAAAGGAGCAGGCTAATGCAAAGCTTTTGGAGACCGCTAAGTGTTAGAAAGTGATAAAACACACACTCTGCTGTTCTCACTTCGTGGAGGTAGAAGTCAGGAATATGAGGCAGTTATTTTTTAGAGTGTGGAATTGTAGTCTTGTGTTGCTTCTAGTTACACTATATCTTTAGTTGGTAGGTAAAAAATGTTTATTTAAAACAATTTTTAAAATTATAAATGTATTTTTATAGCCATATGTAGGGTATAAAGATTAATATGATTTTCTCAAGCTACTTAATACTTTGATTCGTGAAATGGTAAGTAAACAGTTTTACTGAAATAAACTCTACAGATAGATGCAACATGAGGAGTTATTGAAGCAGAAAATGTGTTTTGCTTTGTACACTGTGTGTGTGTTAGCAGACAGCCTCAAGTAGGTTTCCATAACAGCCACTGCCTTTGAATCTACCTTCTGTAGCTTAATATGTATAGGAAAATATATCCTGATTCTGTAGCAAGTAGATTGTTTGCTCTTTGTCTTTTAAGAAATACTAGGGGAGGGCTGGGTGCGGTGGCTCATGCCTATAATCCCAGCACGTTGGGAGGCTGAGGCAGGTGGATCACGAGGTCAGGAGATCGAGACCATCCTGGCTAACATGGTGAAACCCTGTCTCCATTAAAAATACAAAAAATTAGCTGAATGTGGTGGCATACATCTGTAGTCCCAGCTACTCAGGAGGCCGAGGCAGGAGAATCGCTTGAACCCAGGAGGCAGAGGTTGAAGTGAGCTGAGATTACACCACTGCACTCTAGCCTGGGCAACAAGAACAAAGCTCCGTCTCAAAAAAAAGAAAAATACTAGGGGAAAATGTTTTAACTAGTCATTCTTCCGAGTAGCTAACGAAGCTGACTTTTGAAAAGAAGGCTGTGAGCTTTGCAGATGCTGCCACCCAGAGCCCCTTGCTTCCAGCCATGGTCAACCCCACGTTTTTCAACACTGCCGTCGATGGCAAGCCCTTGGGCTGTGTCTCCTTTGAGGTAAGGGGCCTAGAAACCAAGAAGTGACTGTTCATCTAACACTGTTCATCTAATCCATGAAACTATGTTAGCAGATTGGAGCTGTTTGCAGTTCCAAAGACAGCAGAAAACCTCCGTGCTCTGAGCACTGGAAAGAAGGGATTTGGTTATAAGAGTTCCTGCTTTCACAGAATTATTCCAGGGTTTGTGTGTCAGAGTGGTGACTTCACATGCCATACAGCATTGGTGGCAAGTCCATCTGCAGGGAGAAATTTGATGACAAGAACTTCATCCTGAAGCATACAGGTCCTGGCATCTTGCCCATGGCAAATGCTGAACCCAGCACGAATGTTTCCCAGTTTTTTATCTGCACTGCCAAGATGGCCAAGGCTGAGTGGTTGGATGGCAAACGTGTGGTCTTTGGCAAGGTGAAAGATGGCATGAATACTGTGAAGGTCATGGCGCACTTTGGGTCCAGGAATGGCAAGAGCAGCAATTTGCATGAAGATCACCATTGCTAACTGTGGATAACTGTAATAAATTTGACTGGTGTTTCTTTAAAAAAAAAAAAATACCGTGCCAGACCAAGGTAAATTGTTTTTGATCATTACAGAAATGTGATTTCTTAATCAGCAGCTGTCAAACATAGTGTTCCTTAATTTAAAAGCTTGAACACTAAATTATAAATTGGAGAGGTTGGAATAATTATGGTCATATATCTAGAAACACAAATCTTTAGTAGCAAAAAAGAAATTAGCAAGAGAAGAAAACTATTCGGTACTTTGAATGGAGAAAGTTTTCATTGATAGAAGTTTAGATGAAAATTAACATGAGAAAGAAGTGACAGGCCAAGTGTGGTGGTTCACGCTTTTAACACAATTTGGGAGGCCAAGATGGGAGGATCTCTTGAGCCCAGGAATTCAAGACTAGCCTGGGCAACAAGGCAAAACTCATCTCTACTGAAAATTTAAAAAATCAGCTGGGCATGGTGGCACCCGTCTGTAGTTCCAGCTACTTGGGAAGCTGAGGTGGGAGGATCACTTGAGCCCAGGAGGTTGAGGCTGCAGTGAGCCGTGATCACACCACTGTATTCCAGCCTGGGCAAGAGTGAAATCCTGTTAAAGGGGGGAAAAAAAAACAGGAAGGGACAAATACGAGAGTTTTTGCTAAAGCTTTTAAGTTAAGATGCAGAGAATTGGGGGAATGTATAATAAATCAGATTTCATTTAGTTATATTATTTACCACATGAATCACTTTCCTCCCAACAGTTGTCGTAAGAGCCATGTGTTCATGTGTAATGAAGACCAGTATTTAACTGTGGGAACCGTGGGTGGCGTGGCGAAGGAGACTGTCCGTGACTGTGCCGCTCTCCGCAGCCCCGTCTGCTGTCCTGTTTCCTCGGCTCCTTGGTGTCTGGACTGGCGTTCTGGGTGTCCCAGCGGAAAACTAAAGGGCCAGAGAGGTGTAAACACACACACCACTTGGCAGGTAATTTCCCCATGTGCTATCTTTTTAGGGATCCTGAACACACAGCCTTTCCCAAAAGACTGCTCCCTCCAGCTACTGAGGAATGATGACAAGAAAAGGCCGAATTGCAGTGTCTCCATCAGCAGTTTGCTCTCTCTGGGCACACGATGACAAAATTTCCTGAAGCGAACCACTAGTCTGACCTCAGTAGCAGGATTGGAAGCTTCATGCCATGGGAGTGGTCAAGAAAGGCATCCCAAAGAGAACTGAACTATTTAAAAAAAAAAAATAGACCTTTAGGAATAGGTGATTGTCCCCATATACTGGGGATGAAATACCCAGTGTAACCAAATTCCCCAGTAAGATCGCTTAGTTTGGCAATAGTCTCTTCTTTTGAGCACGCTGAAGTTTATTTGCTCAATGAAGGCTGAAATTGTAAGTCAGTATATATGTATTACTAAGTAGAACTTGAGGTAATTATATGTTTTAGTCAAAAGCAGTTTCTGTGGGCTTGGTATAAACCCTACTTTGTGATTTGCTAAAGCACAGGATGTTGACTCAAACCAAAACTAGTTTTGTAGTTAATATATGTTGTGTTTCTGTGACTTAATAGTCAACTAGAAAAGCCACCTACGACATTCCCAGCTAATTAAGTTTTAAAAGTTTTTTTTTAAATACTTGTCACCATATTTTCAAAAATACTAACATTTGGATTCCTAGTTATAAAAGTGCAATTTCTACTGTGTCATCATCAGCCCCGCAGCTGGAGACTTGCCCTCTTTGTACAGCAAAGTTGTGAAAAAAGTATTTGCACTACATTCATTTAAACATTAGGGGAAAAAACCAACCCATGCTTTTCTTTGCTGAGCTGTAGGGTTGTATTATTGGCTAGTGAGAAGCCTGGGAACACTAGGACTTTGTGTGGGTGACTGCAGGTATCAGATCCAGGATTATACAGGTACTCTTGGAAGTGTCTTGGGGATTTTCCTGGTAAGAACAACAGTGATTGCAAAAAAAAAAAAAAAAAGACAAGATGTAAAGTGAAATCAGTAAAACATCTTAGTAGACAGAGGGTGCTGACATTTTAACAAATGTGTAAAAAGTTCTTCCTATACATTAACTTTCCAGATACCCTTAAAATGTTTAAGGAGTATCATTCAAAATACTGTTTGAGAGACATGTGACCATCATTCTCCAAGGGAATGTGGATCATTTAGTGTGCTACTTAAAATTAGATGTAAATGTATATGTACACTATAAGAATAAAAATCGGTACCATTTCTTTAAAGCTTTCTAAAAGAAAGTTAATTATTTCTAATAGTTACATTTTAGGATCTCAAACTATTTTTCTTTTGAAATAACTGCTTTCTACCCTAAGGTGTTACTTATTGCTGTCTTCTTTTTAACAGGTGAAGATATTAAAGCTAGAAATTGGAACCAGAAAATCTAAAGAATTCAAGGCATCTTAACGTGACAGTTGAATTGATCTCATTTGATTACAAAGTTTATTGCAGTTATTGAATCTTTTTTTGAGTGCAGTGGTGCCATTGATGCTTACTGCAGCCTCAATCTCCCAGGCTCAAGAAATCTTCCCACCTCAGCTTCCAGAGTAGCTGGGACTACAGGTGCATGCCACGCCTTGTTATTTTTTTATTTTTTCAATATAAACGAGGTCTTGCTGTGTCATCCAGTCTGGTCTTGAACTCCAGTGATCCTCCCACCTTAGCCTCCCAAAGTGCTGGAATTACAGGCGTGAGCCACCAAACCTAGCCACCAATTTTACTTTAGGTAAACTTTTATTTTCAAGCAGCTTTTGTTGGTGTTGCAAGTACAAATCATGACTGTTTTATAAAATGTTCTATAAATATAACCACTATTCTTTGTAAGCCATTTAAAATTTTAGTCTTTCAAGTAAACACCAATATTGTGGTTTTGATCCTCACTTACGAAGTTCCTATTTGAGAACCTCCCTACTAAAATTTATTTGTAACCCCAAAATCACCACATGCAGTCATTTTCAGACATGCACAGAGCAGTGAATGAGCCAAGCTGCCTGACATGCACGTTTCTGACGGAGGCTGGAGGGGATGCCATGCCTTGTTTCCTCTCCTACTACAAACAGGTGTCCTTTCATAGTCTTTTCAGTACCATGTTCTTTGCATTTCTGCACTTTTTGTTGGCGATTTCACTATTTAAAATGGCCCCCAGGTATAGCAAAATATTGTCTACTGCTTTAAAGGCAACAAGGCTGTGATGTGCCTCATGGACTCAGTGTCTGTTACATCAGCTTCACTCAGGCATGAGTGATTGTGGTGTTGGCTGTGAGTTCAATGTTTTATTATGCCAGAGAATCTGTAGGTCCTGTAGGTCCTGGAACCTAAGGCTGGGTTGTTGAAACCACCACTCCAAAAGTACTTCAGTAATAAGCTGTTCTTTTCCCAATGCTAACGGGGATGCTCACTTTTAGGTGTAGAAAGAAATCACTTGTTGCCATTGTTTTAATTGTCTGAAGGCATTCCTCTGATAGATGGGCTTAGTTCATTATTTCCTCTAAGCAAACGTTCTTAAACATTTCTCTTATAGTGAAAAAATAAGACAATTTGTTACAAATCTTTGGTACTGCTTTCTCCAGAGTTTTAAGATTGGAACTTTTACTTACCTTAAAATCACTTGGCTTGGTTTCCTTTAACTTTTTCAAAGAGTTAGAGAGTAATTCCTGTTGAACAGATTATCTTCCTTGTAAATACACTTTGAAAATACCTCAGTAAAAGGAATTTCTCATGATTTCTTAAAAAATATATCAGATAACAGCTGATAAAAAGAACTTTAATGGAAGGCACTGTTGTCCAAAATCACAGAAAGGGTAAGAGCCCACATGGTACCACCCTGCTCTCCTACTTCTCAAACCCACATCCACCACCCAGACAGGAGGGTGCAGACCCCACAGGAAGTTACCTCCCAGAGCACTGACTGACGTTTTTCCTTAAAACAAAAAAATAGCTGTCTCAGACTAATAACAGAACATCTTAAGAGGGGAAAAAAACAAAAAACTATACCAGCTATTACAGCCTGGTAAAAGAAGCAGCTTTCTAAGCGTTCCCAAGTTTATAAGAGGCCCAAGAAATGCATTTATTCTGTTGTCTATTAAGCCTCCACGACAAGGAGAAAGTTACAAGTAAATCCTTGGTTCATGAGGAGTTAAGAGCTTTGTGCATAAGCAGGTTCAAGAACCAAACTCCTGTTTGCCTCTTGATGGTTCAGAAACATTCAGCTGCTTTCACCTCTAGGACAGTATCACAAACGTTTAAGAATTTACTCTCATTATCAACATCGGAACTTTACGAAAACTGGATTCCTGTTTCATCAGAAGCCTGTATTAATGAAAAACACATTTTGTTCTTTAGTGCTTAAAAAAAAAAAAAACTCATCTATTTTTTTGGGATAGCCATTCCTCCTGTGGATAGTCAACAGCAAGACACCTAAAAGACACGTTTTCCCCAGTTCTTATCAAAAATTCATCTCACGGAAAAAGTCATCCAAGAAAGCAAAACTTTGCTTTAAGTAGATAAAGTACTGTTTTATATGCATTAGACCAAGCAATCCACTCAGGGTTTTAACGGTGTAAAAACTAAATCACAGTACAGCTGAACAGTGAATGGATGGGATGGTTCTGATGAGGTATTATTTTGACATTTTGGTCTCAGAAGGTGTTTCCCCAGTATCCAATGTCTTCAACAACCGGAAAAGACCAGCAGCTTCTCGTATCCTACTGAATTCAATACAGAATGCCTGCACTTCTATAAACAAATCCTGTACATTAATAATTTTGTTACGGATCAACGATTGGAGAAACACACACACAAGACGCACCAACCGATTCTGAAAAAGGGGAAAAAGAACAAATGTTAGTGTGCTCATTTTCCTGGCAGGCAATTATAAAATTTACAGAAATTTCTATTACCTGCATATATTTATCCTTAATTTGTTCACAAGTAGAGATGCAATTTGATATATAAAGGTGAATAAACTCAGGAGGTAGATCAACAGCTGTAGTTAGTCTGTTTCATAAAAGAAAATTTGGGCCATTAATTTCATTTGCTAACATCGAAAAACACTGTTAACCATAAAATACAAAAATTGCTTCGGTCATCTGGTGGAATTATCTGACATATCCAATTCCCTTGTTTTAAATATACTTGGGCAAGTAAACCCAAGAGCCACACCTACTTACTCATAAATTATAACACTTTTTAAAAATGTCTCTACTTAACTGTACATACCGCAATTATTTTTTTGAGCCCTGCCCCTGAGTATTCTTGGTTAAATCATAAGTCATGGTCTGTTATTGGAATTTAGAGTCATAATGAAGGCCAAAGCCAGTATTTTCCAAAGGATTACATGGAATGCTTTAAGGAGAAAAATGAGTGGGCTGGGAACAGGAATTCCATACTCAAGGTATGAATTTCCAAAAGAAGATTAATATATGCTACCTTTTCTAAACTTACCAGACCTCAAAACTTTTTTCAATAAGGCATGAGGAGGCAGTGCTCCAAGGACACTGTCATGAGCTGCTGCAGTCACTTGAGATTTGTGTGTCACCAACAAACATGTTTTCACGCTTAAGGATGATGCACTGTGATAGGTGTTGGGGGAAAACAAACAGGACCCTATCCTTGAATTCCAAGATACTGAGCAGATAGAATCGCACTGACAAAAAGATACAGTGATTCTGCATCTTGGACTCAGGGCCAAATGTCTGGTAGTGACAAGAACTGCTATAAGAATATGGTGAAGGGGAAGTGAACACTCAGCGTGGTCAATCCACGCTGTGCGGGCAAACCTGCACAGAACTGGGCCACTGAAAAGAGTCTTCACTCAGTAGGGGAAAGACTGGAACAAGGAGTGGGAGAAATGCACCAACACATTTTCAACAAGCAGCTAGCTGGTTTTGCCGGTGACCAAGGTTAAAGTTAAAAATTAATCTGGAAACCTCACGCTTCCTCCCTCTCCTGCCCCTAAAAGAATGCACTCCTTCTATGCACATACTTCCACTCCCTCGGCTTCCAGCTGGGCTTTTTTCCCCAATAGTTGATGAAACAAGGGCACATTCTGTAGTTCAATTTCACATAGATTTTTCAAAAAGCCCCAACTTACAAACAGGTGTTAAAAAACTGCTGTCACTGAAGTTTAGTCGCTTGGCACTCAGAACGGATTTCCCCATATAGGAGGACCATATAATTTATCATCCAAAGCAGGATACCACGTGAAAGGGAGCTCAGATGCAAAGCCTCCACCAGGACTCAGGCACACCTGAACCTCTGGCCATCCTGCACATAAACAACTGAAGCCCTCCAGCCCATCTAATTCACAATTTGCCTAAAAGATATTTGTAAGGAAAATACTATAAAATGCAAACACTGTATAGCACACATCAAGAAGGGAAGACGTTCTATTTTCCTGACAGTCAAGGATGGCAGGGTCAGGAGACGGGGGAGTCAGAAAGGCTGGGAGAAGAGCATGAGGAAGCTAGGACGGCATTCCTAGGATTCTCAGCTCTTAAGGTCCATATTTTTCCACACTTACAGCTGTTAGTCACTAAGAAAAAAATATCTGTATTTGTACAGGGATAAAGAAGATAGGACTATGTACAGGGAAATGAATTTCAGTAATTGGCTGGCACAGTGGCTCACGCCTGTAATCCTTGCACTTTGGGAGGCTGAGGTGGGCAGATCACTTGAGGTCAGGAGTTCGAAAGCAGCCTGACCATGGCAAAACCCCGTCTCTACTAAAAGTACAAAAATTAGCCGGGTGTGGTAGCACACACACCTGTAATCCCAGCTACTAGGGAGGCTAAGGCAGGAGAATTGCTTGAACCCAGGGGGTGGAGGTTGCGGTGAGCCAAGATTGCACCACTGTACTCTAGCTTGGGCAACAGAGTGAGACTCCCTCTCAAAAAAATAAATAAATAAAATAAATTTCAGCAGTTTTCATTTATGCTTCTACTAACACTAAATATGTTTGAAATCCTACCCTCAGTTCTTATTAACGCATGCTAAATTCACATGTAGTGAATGCTAAGGCTTAGATTATTTCTTTAATAGTTACTCTTATGCCAATAATATCAACACAAAAATCTGTTACAATTTTTCCTTCCTGGCCATCTAATCTGTATCTATCCCCACACATTTAATCAAATCTAGAAACTTACCGATTTACAACTTCCATTGAATGTAAAGACATGTCCATATTGACCAGGACAGAGAAATACTCAGTGATCTGGCTTGACTGCATTAATTTCAGCAACATTTCTATAGCAACTAAAGGGTTGTTTTCCACAAGGTCAGGAAGCTTGGCTGGGGTGAGGCCAATATGATAGACAAGTTTGGGGTCTTTTTCCAACTCACCAAGGAGCTAAATACACCAGATTTTTAAAGAGAGAGAGGGAGAGAAAAAGAGGGTCTTGAGTCAATTTTTTTTTCCCATGTATATGAAATAAGCATTTTATACAAAAAGCTACAAAACTATCTGCATTGAACCAACTTCATCAATTTCTTCCTTCAAACCCATGATGTCTTGACATTTCTAAATTTACATTTTAATTTTGAACAAACTAAAACGCAAACACATCTAAGACAGTTTATAAATATGCTAGTGATTCCTCTTCCTGGACATCAAGCCAGACTCCATACTGTCTGGTCAGATACAACACTGTCTGGCTGTAACAATGTCAAGTCCTTTGCAGGTTTTTTTTTTCTGTCATCTGTTGTAACTAAAAATAATCTTAATGACCAACTAGTTATCCCAAGAAACAGTCCTGCCCCACCCCACTCAGGTAGAGACCAGAACTACCTGAGAAGGGGGCGGAGTGGGAAGCGGGACAGCCGACCTGCTGCAAGTCATCAGTCTGCAGAACTTGACAGTTCAAGTCACAGCCACACTTTGTAATTCAAACAGGTATCCCCAAGATTTTTTCCACCAAATAAGCACTTCCTCTTTAAATGTCCTATGCTGTTTTTTTTTTCCCTGTCTACTTGTATGTTCCACAGTGGGCTGTGTTTTCAGGATAGTCTCGCGAGCAAAGCAAACTACAAACATTGCTATTCGTTATTTCATTTTGAAAATGGTATTTTTGGTGGCAAACTTGATTGGAGAGGTCACTATCTCCTGAAAAGTTCTAATGCAAACTGGATAACATTCACCAACCAGTAGAAGAGTGGCCTTGCCTCTCCGGAGGGGATCCAGTCTCCTGCTCGGGCAGTGGGGGCTACTTTAATCTCAAATCCACCACGATCCAGCTGTGTGATGGGGGCGGGTTCCCCTTCCCAGCCTTGTTTCCTCCCTACAGCCTGTCAGTAACTCCGCTTTCCATCAGAAGCGTTACTGTCTGCTCAAACGTAACCACTGTGGAAAGTGTCCCGCTGTACACAGCAGTGACACCCCCATGACCCCACCTCTCCCAGGGACAAACTGATCACAAACAAACGTCAGAACATTTTCAGCCATCAGACTTCTTGCTCCACCACAGCAAAACTACCAAAGAGCAGAACAAAACTTCAGAGACCCAAAACCCTTTGCAACTTCCTACTGCTGCCTCATGGTGACACGATTAGTTTACTGCTTATCACTTTCCAAAAAACAAATACTCTTGTTGGATTAAAGATAAGAAAAGGCTCACAATGGCTGAGTGCGGTGGCTCACACCTGTAATCCCAGCACTTTGGGAGGCCAAGGCTGGCAGATCACTTGAGGCCAGACCAGCCTGGCCAACAATGGCAAAACCCCATCTCTACCAAAAAT